GTGAGTCTCGGGCCCCGGGCGGAGGCGGCGTTTTTTTTTTTTTTTTTTTTTTTTTTTTTTCGAGGGGGGGGGGGGTGTTTAATGTGGTTTTGTGTTGATTTGTTGTTGTTGTTTTTGGTTTGTTTATTTTGATTTTTTATTTGGTTTTGTTTTGATTAGTTTTTTTATTGGGTTTTAATGTTTTGTTTTAATTTGTTTTTGATTGGGTTTTAATGTTTTGTTTTGATTTGTTTAAGGTTGTTTTTGTTTTGATTTGTTTTAAGTTGTTTTTGTTTTGAATATTTTTTTGTTTTGATTTTTTGTTTTGATTTGCTTTTGAAGTTTTTGGTTTTGTTTTCTTTTTTGTTTTGATGTTTTAATGTTTTGTTTTGATTATTTTTTGTTTTCTTTTTTTGTTTATTGGTTTGTTTTATTGTTTTTGTCGCGATTTTTTGTTTTATATTTGTTTTCATTTGTTTTGTTTCGTTTGTGTCGTCTTTCCTTGTCACGATTTTTTGGTTTTAATCTGTTATAGTTTGTATTTTGTATTTTTTTGTTGTTGTTTCCGTTGTTTGTTTTTGCTTCTCCTTTATGTTTGTTTTCTTTTTATTCTGTTTGTTTTATTTTTATTTATTTTGTAATCACACACACACACACACACACACACACACACACACACACACACACACACACACACACACACACACACACACACATATATGTGTGTGTGTGTGTGTACACTTATACATATTTTTACCGGAATTTTGTAATTTTGTTTATGTATACGTGGCTGCTGTTTATATATGATAGTGGATGCACCGGGTGGATTCGCCGACCGATAGATAGTCAGGTGGATAGATAGATAATCAGATCTAGCCTAGTGGATGAACTGATAGATAGACAGATAGCTAAACAAGAATGGACTCTTAGGTAGATAGGAGAAGAAATAAATAGAGAAATAGACAGAAAAGATGGATTGACCTATAATTTTTTTAAATGTCATGGCGCACAGGTATTATACAGGCAGGTAACGCTGAAAAATATAAAGACGTAAGCAACAGACAAACAATTACAGAATAAACAAGGAGATTGCAATGTAAATATGTAAACAGTGACGGGAATAATAACATTCTTCGCCACTGACTGTCTGTCCAGCTTTTTATGTTAGTATAGATAGATAGTTAGGTCGATATTGATATAGATAGATAGATCGATAGATAGATGTTGATATAAATAGACTGAAATATAGATAGATAGATATTAATATAGATAGACTGAATGATAGATAGATAGATAGATCGATATTGATATAGATAGGTAGATGGATATATAGATTTTCTCCACTTTTTTGGATGTCTATCTATCCTTCTTTATATGTCTATCCATCTGTACTTATCTATCTAACTGTTCACTTATGTACCCCTCTCAGTCTCTAGGTTTGTATAGCAGCTGCCCGAAGAAGTCGCTATCTTTCTCTTCTGTCTTATATTTAGTGTGTTTATCTGTCTGAAAGAGAGGGAGAGGGAGGGAGAGAGAGAGAGAGAGAGAGAGAAAGAAAGAAGAGAGAGAGAGAGAGAGAGAGAGAGAGAGAGAGAGAGAGAGAGAGAGGGAGGAGGGGGGAGTGAGGGAGAGAGAGAGAGAGAGAGAGAGAGAGAGAGAGAGAGAGAGAGAGAGAGTGAGTGAGTGAGTGAGTGAGAGAGGGGGAGAGAGAGAGAGTGAGTGAGAGGGGGGGAGAGAGAGAGTGAGTGAGTGAGAGGGGGGGGGAGAGAGGGGAGAAGGAGAAGGAGAAAGAGAGAGAGAGAGAGAGAAAAAAAAAGAGGGGGGGGAAGAGAGAGTGAGAGTGAGAAGGGGGGAGGCAGAGAGAGAAGAGGGGAGGTAGAGAGAGAGAGAGGGAGAGGGAGTGAGAGAGGGAGAGGGAGAGAGTTAGAGAGAGAGGGAGAGAGTTAGAGAGAGAGGGAGAGAGTTAGAGAGAGAGGGAGAGAGTTAGAGAGAGAGTTAGAGAGAGAGGAGAGAGTTGGAGAGAGTTAGAGAGAGAGGGAGAGAGTTAGAGAGAGAGAGAGAGAGAGAGAGAGAGAGAGAGAGAGACAGAGAGAGACAGAGAGAGACAGAGAGAGAGAGAGACAGAGAGAGAGAGAGAGAGAGAGAGAGAGAGGGGGAGAGGGAGAGAGAGAGGGAGAGAGAGAGAGAGAGAGAGAGAGAGAGAGAGAGAGAGAGAGAGAGAATGGGAGAGAAAGAGAGAGAGAGAGAGAATGGGAGAGAAAGAGAGAGCGAAGGAGAGAGAGAGAGAGAGAAAGAGAGAGCGAAGGAGAGAGAGAGAGAGAGAGGGGGGGGGGAGACAAACAGACAGACAGAGACAGAGAGGCAGAGTGGGAGGAAAGGAGGGAGGAAGGGAGGGAGGGAGAGGGAGAGAAGTGGCGGACAGGCGTCTCCACCCAGTCCCGTGTATTCATCTGTCTGATCAATTGCCTCACCTGTCCTTCCCCCTCTCCCCTCTCCCCTGTCCCTCCCCCTCTCCCCTTCCCCTCCTCCCTCCTCCCTTTTTTAGCCGAGTTCTCCCTTCCAACTTCCTCTCTTCCTTCCTCCCTCCCCCTCTCCTGTCTCCCCCTCCTCCCTCCCTCCCTCCCACCCACTTCCTCTGTCTCTCTTCCTCTCCCCCCCTCTCTCTCTCTCTCTCTTTCTCTCTTTCTCTCGCGCTCACCTGTCCTTTTCTTTTATTTTCGTTTTAGTTTTGTGTATTATCGCTCGTTTGCTTTCTTTCCGTATGGTTTTATTCTCAGTTAATATGTTTAGATATTTAAATTAAGTGGGATGTTCACTTTGCTTGTCTAATCACTCTTTGTCAGGTTGTAATGAATCCTTGCGAATTAAGTACAGTAGAGATTACGAAATGAAAAAAAATAATGCGTTTTCGAATTCTGTGCGATGTTCCCAGCTTCCACAAACAACACGTTTTTTTTCACCGGCTACCACTCTCTTTCTCACATTATTAACCTTCAACTGTTGCTTACAAGTAGAAGTGTCAACTGAACGATACAATATGCAACAACGATCGAAAAAAAAATCTATCGCGAGAAGCCCTCAGACGTGATCCAGAATAACGAAAACCGAATGAAATTTGTGTTGGAAATGTGAACGCGTGTGTTTGTGCGTATGTGTGTGTATGTGTGTACGTGTGTGTGTGTGTATGTGGGCGGGTGGGTGGGTTGAGGGATGTAGAGTCAGTCACCATTGTTCCTGTGTAGCTTTCGTATGTGTGTGTGTGTCTGTCTGTATATCCCTCTCTGTCTTTGTGAAGAGAGTTGAATTCGCATTGTGATAAATTCTTTTTTATGGATATTGAAAAGTTTGATTTCGTTTGGAGTTTTTGTGTTTGTTTGTTTTTTTCGTTAATTATCCAAACTTATTTTGATGAAGGAAAGTGTATTCCTCGTTGGGAAGTCAGTGATAATTGATATTATATAGGCGCATAAATGGATAGATATATAGAGACAGATAGATAGAGTGATACATCATTATAAACAATAATGAAAAGCTGCCGACTGTGCAAACTCATATTTGCTGTTTGAAAATACGTTATCGTGAACCTTGAAATGGTTCTTGAAAAATAGAAAACTGATAGATTTTTGAAGTTGCAACATCTAAAGCAACACAGAAAAAATGCATGCGATGCTAGTGGCTCAGTGTTATGCAACTGTCAACCTTTTGGGGGCAACAGCAAACAGCTCAAACATTTCAGAACTCCAAATAAGTAAATTGCATTTCAAAAAAGCTATATTAACCTAAAATTGGGTCAGAGAGAAGCATTGCAAAAAAAAAAAAAAGATTTTATGACCACTTCCGCTGCTGGGGTGGGCGAAATCTGTTTATATTTTTATTTAAATCTATATCTGTTTGTGTTATAACAATAAATAGTGAAATATTTTCATTTGGTTTATAGCCATTTGTTTCTATTATATTGATGTATATTTTTCTATGTTGGATTATATATTTATTTATTAATCGCCAATCGTTATTTTGTGCTACTTCGGAATGTAATAAGAATTTAAACACATTTTAAAAGAGGTAGAGGAAAATTAATAAATCCGGTAAACATATAGAAAGAAAATAATAAAAATGATAATAATAATAATAAGAATAAGAAGAAGAAGAAAAGGGATGATGACGATAAAGAAGACGGGCAGCAATTTTCTGCAAATGGATTTACTGATTAGTCACAAATTTTGAGAAATTATTTACGGCAACGAAAGTAACGTCGCGAATAAGTTGAAAATCATGGTGTCTTTCTGGAGGGAGAAAAAAAAAACGCGAAGATGATAGATCGTTTCTGTGATTTATTAATAAACCACACATTTGAAGAATTAGTAAAACCTTAAAAAGATAAAAGCTGAAAACAAAAATTTTATTTGGCACTGACTGATCCCAGTCAAATTTTGAATTATGTATCGCCAGTGTCGAAACGAAATTTTAAATGACCATGTTAGAAATACTCTAAATCAATTAATCAGATCAAAAATAAAGTAGTTTACTTACGCACGAGTGACGAAACACAGAAGGCAATAAACAAGAGAAAATATTTAAAAAAACGAACGCGAAGAATAGAGAAAAACGAGGTGATACATACCGAACGCTCAAAGAAAACGGACAGTCAACAAAAACGTTGGAATGAAGATTTCTCTAAGACAAAAGACAAAAGACAAAAAGGGGAGGGAAGGAAAAGGGGGAAAGAAAGAGAGGAAAAACTGAGAAACTAAATAAATATAATCCCCTCCCCCCCAAAAAAAAATACTAGAAATAAAAAAGGAAAGTTCAATAAACTTTTTTAAAATATCAATAAAAATACAAAGAAATTATTAATAAATAATTCAATACATATATATCCCTGAAATTTGCTCTCGCTACGGTAGCTGGGCACAACAGAGGTGAAAGTTGCATGTTTTGCCTTCCTCTCCTCGCCCTAATGGTCGTCTTCTCCACGCCCGTTGAGCAGAAGGGGGATGAGGTTGCGGAAACAGCAGCTTGGA